CTTGGATTTCTTGTTTTTCTTTTTCAGTGGAACAGGTAGTCCTCAACTTATAACAGTTCATTTAGTGACCGTTTGAAGTTATAATGGCACTGAAAAAAGTGACTTATGACCATTTTTCACACTTACAAGCATTGCAGCATCTCCAAGGTCATGTGATCAAAATTAAGATGCTTGGCAACTGACTCATACTTATGATGGGTGCAGTGCCTTGTGGTCATGTGATCAGCTTCTGCGACCTCCTGACAAGCAAAGTCAATGGGGAAACCAGGTTCACTTAACAACTGTGTTACTAATTTAACAACTGCAGTGATTCATTTAACAACTGTGGCAAGAAAGGCCATAAAATGGGGCAAAATTCACTTAATAAATGTTTCCCTTAGTAACAGAAATTTTAAGCTCAACTGTGGTTGTAAGTCAAGGGCTTAACTATATTGTGATCATATTTTTCAGTTTCCCAAGCTTCTTGAGTTGTTTTCCCCTTTAAGATTTTCATCCATGGAATCTTTCCTAGACTCTTTCTGAGTTTGTTAAAATCTTGAATTATATTCTACTGCTTGTATTTGCACTATATTGTATTCCAATAAGACGTAGTCACCCTCGCCCAAAGTTCCAGCAAATTCAACTCCCTCTATCATTTCTTCTCTATTAGTAAGAATTAGGTCCAATAAAGCTTTTCCTAGTTCCCTCCTCTACCTTTTGGATGACAAAGAGCCAGTATTTTCCCCTTACTGCCCTAATCCAGGGGTAGGCAACCTTGGCTCTTTTATGACTCGTGGACTGAACTCCCAGAATTCCTGAGCCAGCATGGGAGTTGTAGTCCACGAGTCATAAAAGAGCCAAGGTTGCCTACCCCTGCCCTAATCTAAAAGACGCTTAGTGATCTACAGGCCTTGTATACAAACAAACCAATGAGCAACAACTACTTTGCTCAAGTATGATACTAAAAACAAAATGTAACAACTTGCTCTGATTTTGATTTTTCATCTACAAGACTGGTGGAAAAAAATAAATTTGCAAAGGGGGGCAATATTCAAAACAGAATAATTTTGATTCCATCCCATTATCTATACAGACATATCACAAATGTATTTTGTCTGATTTTAAAATACGTTTCATTACAAAATATATAAATATCAAAATAATCAGCTCAACACCTTACAACTATAAAAACAAGTGAAGAAACAGATTAATAGGGGTTAGTGAAAGTAGGAAAGACATTTTATGATTATTTCTAAGCAATGTTCAGTTATCTCTTTGAATCATATTTATGCACCTAAAACAAAAATAAAACATGCTGTGTGAGATTTCTATGATTTTTTTTTTACTGTGACAGAAGCAGTCAATGAAAAGGAGGGTTTTTTCCTACTCCATAATATGAATTATCTATATCTATTTAAATAGAGTGCCAGTTTGGTCTAGTGCTTAAAGCACCAGGCTAGAGAGCAGAAGACTGTGAGTTCTAGTCCTGACTTAGACATGAAAGCTGGCTGAGTGACTTAGGGCCAGTCACGTATTCCAAGATAGTTAGATCTTAGAACTATGGAAGAAACAATTTCTAGATATGAACAGATACTTACAACATCTTCTTAATCAGCCCTGGTCTGTGGTTTGTACAGCTTGACAGCGAGGGAGAAAAGATTCACTGCCATCCCTACAACTGTGGGCCAGTGGCATTGAAGACCAGGGGGCAAGTTTTAGTAAGAGTTAAGTGACTGTACCACAGAAGACAAGTTTTTTTCAATATCTTAAGACTGAGGTTTAGACTTTGAAGTGTAAATAATATACAAGTACCACAGTACCTGGTGTGCCCACAGGAGGAGATTCCAATAAGCTATGTTTAAAAGTATGGCATTAGAGCTACTACAAGGGAAATCCTTGTAGTACCGTCCAGAAAGCAAATTTTAATTCCAATGAGAGGGTGTTAATGTACAATAATACAATAGACAATACAAAGAAACAGTTAAATAGGCAAACCAAAGTGAGATACACTGAAACCAATCTAATGCATTTCCAAGGAATATCATTGGAATGTGAACTGAAAAATATCAAAAAGAGGTGCTATCCCTAGCCTTGAGTCTTTAGCATTCTGTATCATTCAGCTATACAAGCTAGGAGGAACAGAACAAAACATGAAAATCAGTAAAGGATTTTTTGGGGGTGATGGCTACCTTCTTTTTCAACTAACAGTGTATCGATGTAGAGAACAGAATGTCTTTGCAGATATAAGTTTTAATGAAAGATTTGGCAGGAAAAGACTATGTATCGATTTGCCTGATACAGTAAATCTTATTAAAACTTATTAATGAACAAGCGTCAGTGGTTAATAAAAGAAAGATAAGCTATGTTTTGCTTTGTAAAATACAGTTTGTTCTTGGAGGAACAGGACTGAATCCCTAGTTGGAGGTACGCTAAATTAACCACAAAGTTTGTAGTTTTCAGATGGTGTCTGCTTGCAGAGAGAATTAGCTAGCACCCCCCACACACATACACACTACTCATTTATTGATAAACCTTAATATACTTGCTGTGTCATTGCAGACTAACTATGCATGCAACAAGATTCAGCTTGGATAAAACTATATCTGACTTACAAGAGAGAAAATGAGATCTAATGGAAAAAGTCATATTCTTACAGCATATTTTCACTGCAAATATTTCAGCATATTTCACAGCATATTTTAGATGCCATGCTCCATTTTCCAATCCCTCTTGCAATGCTTGTGAGAATGTATATTTACCTCTGATTGCTACTTGTGGGAATCTTTGTTATGGAATTCAAAAATAAAACTAAATTTAATTACCAGTAAAGGAGAACAACTCGCCACAGCCAACTTCCCATGGCCAATTGGCTGAAGCCAACTCGCTGCAGAACAAGAGTTAAACTAATATCAAAAAAAGGATGAAATAGAATCATTAAAGAAAGAATGCAAAAGATGGGATAAAATGAAATCTGAATGACAAAAATTAAAATATTTTTTTAATTATTTGAAATATTTAAATAGTATTGTTGAGTTATCCCAAGGCGAGGTGTCCTTTGGTGAGCTGGTTGTGAAGAATTGTCCCATGGTGAGTTGGCCATGGTGAACTGTCTCATTTCGGTCCTTGTTGCTGTCTAAGCTTGGTTGTATTCTTGCAGACCTTTCAATACCCATACTAACTGGCAGTTAAGAAACCCCTTGTTGCAAAAACCATCCCACAGATAAACTCTCTTCCTTGCCAGAATAAATTATGTTTAAAAGCAAACTTTAGTTCTTTTACTAAAGTTGCCGAATGCTGAATTAACAAAATAATGAATCAGAGCTGAACCACAAGTAATTCTTTCTTTCTACATGTTCTGAGCAGTAAATAGCTGTAGTAGAACTGTCCATAACAGAACAGTTACGTTTCTAAATCACCCAACAGTATTCTGGGCAGTGTTGTTGTTGTTGTTAATTGTGAAGTTGTTTCTGACCCATCGCGATCCCATGGACAAGGTTCCTCCAGGTCTTCCTGTCCTCTACCATCTTCTGGAGTCCATTTAAGTTCACACCTACTGCTTCAGTGACTCCATCCAGCCATCTCATTCTCTGTCGTCCCCTTCTTCTATTGCCCTCAATCTTTCCCAGCATTAGGCTCTTCTCCAGTGAGTCCTTCCTTCTCATTAGATGGCCAAAGTACTTGAGTTTCAGCTTCAGGATCTGGCCTTCTAAAGAGCAGTCAGGGTTGATCTCTTCTAGGACTGACCGGTTTGAACGCCTTGCAGTCCAAGGGACTCGCAGGAGTCTTCTCCAGCACCATAGTTCAAAGGCCTCAATTCTTTTGCGCTCAGCCTTTCTTATAGTCCAACTTTCACAGCCATACAAAATCCACTAGAAGTATATATTTAAGAGCAGTGGGCATAAAACCTTTTCATGTTTAAAATTGCGTATACTATTCAGTAAATGAAGAGAGGGGGGATGGCAAACAGCAAACATTTCTATATGGAAGAACTGGAGCAATGTCTGCAACTTTTTCCTTTTTTACAGGAGGGCCTTGAACAGCGTGGACCAGTTTGGGGAGAAAGGCTCTGTCTCTATGGCTTTTCCCCTGCACATAACAATTCATATAAATACAGGTAGCCCAACATTTCTGTGGCTAAGTGAGACGCTTGTTAAGTGAGTTTTGCCCCATTCTATGACCTTCCTTGCCAGTTGTTCAACCAATCACTGCAGTTGTTCAATTAGTAACATGTTTGTTCAGCGAATCTGGTTTTTCCACTGACTTGGCTTGTCAGAAGGTCGCAAAAAAATAATCACATGACCCCAACACACCACAACCGGTCATAAATATGAGTCAGCTACCAAGCATCTGAATTTTGATCACACGACCATGGGGATGCTGCCACAGTCATAAGTGTGAAAAACGGTCCTAAGTCCCTTTTTTTCCAGTGCCCTTGTAACTTTGAACAGTCACTAAATGAACTATTGCAAGTCGAGGACTACCTGCAATAGCCTACCCCAAAAATAAAATTAAATAAAAGAGATCGGACCCGATAAGTTAACCGGAATGGGGTAGGAGGGGGAAAGGACCGCATGCTTGATTCTGCTGTCTCCAAGACAGCCTTCCAAATCGTCAGGCTCTCCGCCGGTCAGGGGTTCAACATAGAACCACCAGCAGCAGCTGCTGCAACATCTTGGCGCGAACTCTCTGTACGGGCTCGCTCCTCCAGCAAGCCTCGACCCGAGCGCCAAAGACGAAAGCAGCCTGAACGCCACGTCGGTTACGCACGGAACCTGCAACGTTTTCCATAATATATCCGTCGAGCGCTGGCCTAGCAATACACGCACAGCATGTTCGTTCCGCCCGGCGCTAGATGCCTCCCCACCACCCAGCCGGACGCTCCACCGCACACACGCACCTGGTGGTGCCATATATCCCCAGCACTCGAAGCCCCCTGTCACAGCCCGCCCTTGGCCAAGGATCCTGGTTTGGGAGGAGAGCTCTCGCAGAGAGCTCACAGAGCTCTGCCACGGTCCCCTCACCTGCAAAGGAGAGCGAGGCGGCCGCGGCGCTGGTGAGGTTGGGCGCGAACCGCCAGAACTTGACAAGCGCGCTCTCGGAGTGACGGCAGCGGCAGCAGCGGCAGCTCGAAACTGGCTGCACAAGGCCCTCTCTGGAAGGGCTGAACTGAAAGCCACCGTGCCGCCTCCCTCCTGCTCCTCCTCTTCACGGAGCCGCAGCCTCCATGACGAGTCCGCCCACGAGACGCGCTGCGGCGTGAACCAGGAACGGCGGCCCGCCTGACACCGCGGCGCTAGAGAGAAAGAGAGGCGATGTTCTGCGCCTCGTCCCTGGGGCGTGAATTATCCCCCCCTCTTCGCCCCACGGGCGTCCAGAGGGGGTTAGTGGCACTTCTCAACGCCAGAGGGATCTTTAGCACTCATGACGGGAGGGAGAATGAACGACGAAGCCTCGTGTTGGCGAAATAATGGCCTGCCGCCTTTTGATTGAGGCAAAACATAAGCCCGCGGGAGTGGGCTAGCCTCATGAGCCAAACGAAGTAACACAGAGCTTTCCTCGTATGGTACAGATGGAAGTAGGCCGACCGAAAGGGGGATGTAAAAAGCCAAAAATACTAGGAAAGTGATGGTTGAAAGTCAGCCTTGTCTCAGATGCATCCTTGGATTTCCTCTTTCGCTTTTGTTCAATGTTAGTGGTCAAGCAGATGGAAGATACTAATAAAAGATTATTTGTAGCTCTCTGAGCTTGCTTGTTTTTTTGCAGACGATTCATTACCCAAATCAGTGCTGGCTAACACTGATGATGTTACCTAGTTTGGGTAATGAAACGTCTGCAAGAAAACAAGCTGAGAGAGCACCAAGGATATCTCAGACGGAAGATAAACAACAAATTGCTAATGACTCCGTGGAAGAAAGTAATAATATAAACATATAAAATACATACGTATTACCAAATGCTTGAAAATGAAGAACAAGGATGCATCTTGCAAAGACAAATGCAAAACTTTTGTCCATTCTGATTTTTTTAGTATATAGGCGTGCATTTCACATTTTCATTAATTGGAAATGAAAAACAGGTAAAATCAAGATGCATTTTAGCCACTATTTTGTAGAGTTATATACTGAATAATAAATATCAAGATTATCACAGTGCATCATACTTAACATCGTTCTTTCTTTGCCCACTCCTATTTTTGTTGCTTTTTAAGACAAGATATTTTCCTTGAAACAACAGCAATCAATTTTCCATATCAAGAGGGAAATTCAATTTAGAAGTATTCAGAGCCACCCCTTCAGCAGATGATGATTCCCAAGCTTTGTTGCTTTGAATGACAAACACAAATCAATGAATTAAGTCCAGCTGTTACTCTTGTTCTGCCAGTCCTACAATGGTTGCAATGGGCCATCAGTTGAGAGAAAAACGGAAAGCAGCTGATCCTGAGCTCAAAGAAAGGATGCAAAAATTTATTATTGTAAATCACAATTTTTACAGCCTAACAGTTGCAGCTTATACTTTGGATTACAAAATGCCCAGGTTAACCTCAGCTACCTATTAAGCAATTGATTAATTCATTGATGAATTAATTTGTAACATTGGATAAAATTATTCTGGACGCTGACTCTGGTGTAATGGAGAATGCAAATCTGAAGCCACTATTTTCTGCAAATGTATATCTCTCTTCAGTTGCCACATCAAATGTATGGCACCTACGTTCCTCGTTATTCTGAGTGGTCTTGCCACTCTCTGGTCTTCTATGCAAAAATGGTATGACTATATCTTAGAATTGGGGAGGGGGGGGATTTCCAGCAAAAAAAAATGTTTGATATGGTTTATAAATGAAGGGTTCTGGAACAAAGGGAAATTGTTTAGTCTAACTGTTGCTTTCTTGCTTTTTGTAATCAGCTTTTGCACCAGAGAAATTTCATGCTTGCTTGGGAAACATGTACATGGATGTGATATACTGAAGGGAGTGTACAAAAATGATTGATGTCTTTTTATGATATAATGGCTCTGTTGTCTGATTTTCATTGGCTAACAAAGTTTATAAAGCAATGCTACCAACTTTCTAAGGTGTGGCACTTCTGGACATAACTCTGCCAGCGTTCCAGATTGTTGGCCACCTAGCTGCTTAATTTGATCAAATAAAGTGCTGCTTGATCAAGAAGTCTCCGCTTGGGTTATCTGATTAGATTGATATGGTATCTCAAGTTTAAGTAAGGGACTAGGACCTTACATAATTTAAACACAAGCCTCCCTTCTTATCTTTACAAGCATAACAAAATGTTAAAGCCATTGTTCTTAATTTGATCACATTTTATAAATCTCTGAAAGTATATGGTATTATATAGAAGATAGAATCATATAGCTGGAAGGGACCTTGGGATTTTTCTAGTCCACCTCCTGCTCAAGGCAGATCTCACATCATCCTGGTGAAATAGTTTGTCCAGTCTATTTTTAAGTTTCCAGTGATGGAGCACCCACAATTCCAGAAGGTAAGTTATTCCATTGATTAATTGTTCTCACTATCAGAAAATTCCTCCTTAATTCCATGTTGAATCTGTCCTCCATAAGCTTCCACCCTATACATCTTCTTCTGTCCTCTGGTGCTTGTGGTAACCTCTTCTCTGTGACAGCCCCTCAAGTGCTGGAAATCAGATCATGTCCCTTCTAACCCTTCTCTTCAATAAGCTACACATACCTAACTCCTTCAACCATTCATCATACAATTTAGCCTCCAGCCCCTTTATCAACACTTTCTAGGGCAGTGGTTCTCAACCTGTGGGTCTCAACCATTTCATGGGGGTCGCCAAACAACACAGTCCGCCATTCCCCCCCCCTTTTCCTTAGCTGTGCTACTCCCTTTTATTCTATTGGCTTTTGAAAGCCAATAGAATAGACTCTCTTGAATAGAGTCTAATTCTATTGGCTTTCAAAAGCCAATAGGAATTGTCCAGGCTGTCTCTGCCCTGCTGAGCCCGCCAAAAGTCCCATTCTGCAAACGGTGTTGCACCAGTTGAGTAGTCCTTGATTTACGACCGGTTGGGGGTCACGGCATTAAAAATGTTGAGAACCATTGTTCTAGGGTCTTAGTATCTTTTTTGTATCATGGTGATCAGAAATGTGTGCAATATTCCAAGTGTGCCTTCACTACTAATGCAGTATAAAACTGTATTATCACTTTTTGTGATCTTGATGCTATCCTTCTGTTGATGGAGCCCAGGACTGCATTGGCTTCTTTGGAAGCTGCAGCACTACATTGCCTCATATTTAAAGTGATGGTCCACTAGGACACCTAGATTTTCTCACATTTACTACTATTGAGCCAAGTACCACCTAATTTGTATCTACGCATTTGTTTTTTCCTGCCTAAGCCCAGGACCTTCCTTTTCTCATTACCAAACTACATCTTGTTGGATAAGGCCTGATGCTTAAGTTTATCAAGATCCTTCTGAATCTTGAGTCGATCTTCCAAAGTGTTAGTAATTCCCCCCCCCCCAGATTAATGTCATTGGTAAATATAATGAATTCCCCTTCTATCCCCTTGTCTAAATCATTTATGAAGATGTTAAAGAGGAGTGGGCCCAAGAACCTGCAGCCAAAGACCATCCTGTCATCTGGAAATCTTAACAAATCTGCATGGATGACTGGTGCCCTATATGAGGAGTAGATAAGAGGTATTGACCTCTTATGAAGAAAAAATGGTCCATTCTCCTTGTAGTGGACAATTGTCCTAGCCATCCCCAAGTGAATCATCTTACAAACATGAAACTGAAATTTTTCCCTCCAAACACTACATCAAAAATTCAACTTCTCAAACAAAGCCTAATCAGAACATTCAAAATGCATTATTGAGCCCAGCTTCTGCAGTGGGTAATTGCTAAAATGCAAACTACGGTCTGTCTGCAGAAGCAGTTGTTCCTTATGTTGACCACCTCCCTATGTTGACCAATTTCCTTCAGTCCCTTGAATGGTCAACTTTCAGAGGTTTACTGTACCTTCTTTTTCTATATCCTTTTAAACATGAGACAGTGTTTTTATCCAAATCTTAGCCACGTCAAGCACATCGTGTTTCTTCTGGCAGAATCTCTCCCAGATGCTAAATAATTCATATCCCTTTTATTGGCTAGCTTGTTTCCCCTCTTTGGGAGATTTAAGAGCCCAAACAATGGGCCTGGAGACATTCTTTGGAACAGAATGTTCTCATTTTCAGTTTTTCCTCCTTCATTCAACAAAGAGAAGAAGGAAGAGATGAGACAAATGCTTGCTAAAAATACCACATCAGCTACTACAGTATTCTTAATACTTAAAAAAAATCAAGTATTTTAATTCTGCTACTATTCAAACAATGCCATAATTTAATTTCTGTTTTATGTCCTATATTCTAAATAATTCCTTCAAGCTACATAAAAATAAACAGTTATTTTTTTCCCAATCTGTTTTCAGTTATAGAAATAGTAAATAAAAGCAAAACAAACTGAGTACAAGTAATTTATTCAAACTAAATTAAAAATTTTAACTTGGTAGATTGGGGATTTAGAAAACAAACTCTAAATAGATACAAATCCTTTTTTTTTCTGTTCAATTTTGTCTGATTCTTGGACACTGCTTAGACAAGCCCCTGTAGTTCTCAGAATATACATGGACTGAACCTTGTGATTCTCCATCATTATACAGTAAGCTGACAACAGGCAACAATTGTGGTGTTTGAGCTAGAGATCTGATGTGCTATGAAGTGCTATCACTGTCCCTCAGCAGAAGGTCCAACTGAAATATTGTAAATATTTGTATGCTCAATAAAAATACACAGGACTGCAGCTTTTGATTTAAAAAGCCCTATCCTTTTTAAATCAAAGGAATTTTGAATTGTAGTAATAGTTGTCCCATTCAACCGTTTCTATTATTCATCAATTATTATAAAAAGTCCTAAACATTGATAATAATGAGACTGTGGTAATAAGAGGCACATCTTGGAAAACCTTTATCTTTTTCTACCTGTAGATTTTATAGTAGTAAAATCCTTTTGTTATAGCAGATACCAAGACACATAGGATCAAGGTGAGCAACTCTTTCGGGATGAAGTGAAAATATAGGGTCTCCTGGTCAAGCTGGGGGTTGGATTAGATTAGAAGACTTCCAAGGTCCCTCCAAATTCTGTTATTCCGTATTCTGTATAGTAAATCTCAGCTCTTAAACGGGATACCCTCATGTTCAGCAGAATCATTTCTCTATGTTATCAATTTTTTAAATCAACCTAACCTAAGGGCTTGGAAAATTAATGCCATATCTGGGATCAAAGAGTAAACTGAACTCTGAATAATAGCAATAGGAATAGCAATAGCACTTAAACTTACATACCACTTCAAAGCCGCCCTCTCTAAGCAGTATACAGAGTCAGCATATTGCCCTCAACAATCTGGGACCTCATTTTACTGATCTCAGAAGGATGGAAGCCTGAGTCAACCTTGAGCCAGTCACAATCGAATTCCTGGCCATGAGCAGTCAATTAGCCTGCAATACTTCATTCTAACTACTGCGTCATCAGTGTCCAACTATTGCATATGTGAAAGTGTAAAAAACAGTATGATACTTTTCTGGTGGGGCTTCAGAGTTCTACTGAAGATGATATTGCTGCCCCACGAGAATGGGCAATGTGTACTCTCCAATAGGTAAAAGGACTGCTTTCACTGAACCTGACTCCTACCCACCTATTTTCTTAGCCCTCTCTTACGATTCAGTTCCTGGGATCCCCATTTTCTTCCATTATTTTTTGCCACAAGGGAGGGTATGTTTACTTACTCTGGAAGCCATCTTCCTTCCCTCCAGTTGTCCCTGACCTGCCTCTGCTGTCTCCCACCAAACAGACCTGTGGGTGACTACTCCTTTCCTTGTTTTCTTCTAAAAAAAAAAAAAAAAAATGGCAGCAGTTGCTATGTTGGGGGGAAAAACTGTGTAATTCACGTTAAAAATCATGACACACTAGTTCATGATTATTGTAATCGTAATTTACTCAACTAATCAAGTTGCCTGGGTTCAAGCAACATACAAACAAATGGCTACATTATATTTGCTACCTTATATTTACCTTCTATTTTTATACGGCTGAGACAGTGCGTTAGCAGCATTGCTATCTTCATCAGAGGCAGCAAGTAACGGTCACCTCCTGGCAGCTCTATATATAGATAGATGTTAAAAGGAGCGG